AACCATTCGTTGTGCTCATTCAATAGAGCATCCAGCTCGCTAACGATGCGTCTGGCATGAAATGAATCAAGGTTATTATAATCACAACGTGCATTCACGCGATTGGCAAGTGCACTTCCGGAATCCTCGCCGCCTATGAAGTAGATTTGTAAAAATGTATGTGGTTCGTTTGGCATTGGCAGCAATGAGCCCATTTTATGATAAACTTGGCTTCTGATTTTGAATGTAGAATTGTATTGTTGACCATTTGCATTAGTATTTCGAGCTATTTCTGTTGCTCTGAACGATGTCATTTGAAAGCATGAATGTTCGAATTGACTTCAGGAACACGTTAGAATCTGGATCCGTGCCGATAAGTAAACCGTTCAATGGTTCAGATGATGTTTCAATTTCAGGTAGTTGCACTTTTCCTGACGCGCAACACATCCCAGCTGGCTCATTTTTGAATTTCAGAGCATGACAATGCGGACATTCCTTGTCCATAGCACCAATTACCACTTTTGAATGAGCATAATATTCAATATCGGGCTCATACTGGAATGCTAGACGCAGGAATGAATCAGATGTAAATGCTCGATGTACCTGTTGTCGTTGTTGGTCATTTGTTCTGCGTCTATTGACTGTGAAACGGCGTGATTGTCGTTGTTCTAATCTTATTACTTCATTGCGTTCAGCTCGTGTGTCTTCTGACTCTTCTTGACGCAATTGCGCCATTCTGACACGTGCATCAGTATTTTGTTGCTGGATTTGTTCTTCGATTCTTTCGGATCTTCTATTTCGCAAGCTTCGAGATTTACTTGTATTACGGTTCAAATCAGCCCCTTTGCGTTTTGTTGGCATTGAAATATGTGTAAAACACACGTAGATAGGTTAGGTTAGGTTAGCAAAATTAGCCAAATCGGCCCAGCCGTTCTCAATTGTTATTAGCAAGCGGGTGCCACGGAAACCAATAATAAAAAATAACCACATAGAGTGTATATTATCTCTCCATGGCAAAATAATAATTGTTGAATATTGTGCGTGCTAGTATACTTTGACTTAAGAGGCCATAACTCCGGAACCACTTATCGCAGAGCATACAAACTTAGATAGTAGCCGATTCTCAGACCTACTGAATATGCATATAAAATTTCATGAGAATCGATCAAGCCGTCTCGGAGGAGTATGGGAATGAACATTGTGACACGATAATTTTATATATAAGAAGAATTATCACGTATTATAATTCGTTTTGTTTGTGTATACAGTTTATCCAGCATAGCATTAAATTTATATTCATCAAGTAAAATTTGCCATTTGAATAAATCCAACTTAATCGTACGTTTAGTTAAAATGCATTCAAGTAAAATAACGATTGAAATTTGCTTATCGATTGAAAACCCTACAGTTACATTTTTTTTATTTAAAGGATGAATACTGAAAACCGACTGGTTCACTATTGCACCCGTCATAATTAGAATTAGAAAATAAAATTAGTTTTAAATCTTATACAATTACCGCTAAAACATACACCCAAAAATCATTTAATAACACATCGTTACCGGTCCAACATTAACTGTAATATTTATTAAATTTCTCATGCTTATAAAGATTTTCAATTTAATTGTGTTAAACTTGATTATACGCAAAATATTAAAAAATAACCGTGGTTGATGGCAGTTAGCCATTGGGTGACATACTTATCACACACCTATTATCTAACTCTGTAGTCTAATGATTTATATTTAATTACATTATGCTATTATTGGTATATTTTATAATAAATCATATGAAATAATATTACTTTACGTCCATTATACATAAATACAATAATAAAATAGTTGTATTAAATTGAAGAAAAAAAAATTTCTAAATTTAAAAAGAAAATAAATGATATATACCATGAAGTGTAAAAAAAATATGTAGCTGCGTACAAAAAAAACTGTCCTAAGATAATGGGGACGAGTACAGCCACTGTTGTTAGTGAGAAGTTGAGAAAGTATAATATAGAGGGGAAATTTAATTGTATCTGTAAGCAACGATAAACCATTGCTTAAGAAAAAGCGATTCTAAGTGGAGTTCAGTTGACAGTGATGCTTTGTCAACAAAATATATACCATATTATAGTAAAATAATTAAATAGGCTCTGTATATTTTCTTTAATAATATTTGTTTAATGTTGTACCGATTTCTCCGGTTTTCCTAAGTTTCCTCGATTTTCCCATGTTTTTTCCCAGTTTTTCACATTTGCTGAGAAAACTCTGAAGAAAACGACCTCTCTAAAATACCTCTCCAATGAAATATCCTTTTAGAAAAATATCTAAAGGCGCTACACGTAAAAATCGAAGTAAGTTCTCTTGTAGAAAAGTTGTTTATAGAAAATAAAAATAAACCATCTTTGTAAAACCATTACCAACTTCTTTGTTCCATCTAAAAGTTAAAAGTTATATAGTATATTTTTTTTTATAACAGTTTTAACATCAAATTTTGACGAAAAACGTAAATATTACTTTCAAAACATATTTATAACTGAACTTCACTCTGAATCATTTTTCGTTATCAGTGATTAATTGTTACATACAGATAATATATATTAAATTCTCCTCTATATCTACCTCTTCAACATTTTACCTTTAACAGTGGCTCACCCCCATCCATCGTGCATCTATGTCCTTTCTTTTTTTTTAATCTAAAACAGCAAAACTTTTGCTTTGAGCTTTGATTTTAATTATCTACATGCAAAGTCAAAAAAAAATTAATAATAATAAAGTATAAAAATACCGAACATTATCAGCCTTATTACACAGTCCTAACTTAAACCAACATAATATTTTAACATTACCTTATAAATTATAACATTGTACCGAAAAAAATAAACTTACTAAAATATTATATAAGACTACTTCAATAATATAGTTTAAAATTTATATTTTTAATAAACAACAACTAGGTCTGAATATTTTGATTTTAATATTTTTTAAAAGAACAACAAAGTTAATTTTAATCATTGTGAACAAACATAGGTATAATATGCCAAATAAAAACATGAATGTTTTGTTCAAATAATTAATTCAAAATTATAGATCATTCATTTCGTTTATTTCAAGTAGGTAAGTAAAAAAAAAAAATTATAATATTATAAAATTTAATTTTGCTATCCGACATTTGCATATCGAAGAAATGCACGAAATAAAGAGAAAAAATGATTGTGACAAGAATGAATATTTCATAATAATATAAAATAACAGTGTTCCATTTAAATATAATACATGAATTAGTGAGTGTGTAGAAGACATTTGATTTATATATCTTTGGAATTATTGTTCGCTTAACGACTAGCTGCAGCTCCAGCCCCGGCCCCGGATCCAGTAGAAGTTGATGAACCGGCGGAATTTGATGGAATATACTGACCAAATTGATTTGGCACACACGAGCTTGGGATTTGATTTTGGTATTGAGCCGGTATGTAACTATTGTAATTACTAAAAGGATTTCCGAATCCAGAACTAGACGCTGAACTTGAAGAACTACCTTCTTTAGCCGCAACAGTAAAATCTTGTTCAGAAGCAGCTCCAGTGGGTGTGGTGGAAGAACTCGATGAACCGGGGGAATTCGATGGAATATACTGACCAAATTGATTTGGCACACACGAGCTTGGGATTTG